GATGGAAGGGAATAGAAAAGAGATTGATGTTAGCTTGTTTCTTTATGGTAAAATATACATAACATAAAATTAACCATTTTAACCATTTTTAAATGTACAATTCCATAGCATTAAAGTACATTCACATTGTTGTACAATTATCACCACCATTCATCTCCAGAACTTTTTCATCTTCCCAACTGAAACCTTGTTCCCATTAAACACTAACTCTCCATTCTCTCTTCCCCCAGCCCCTGGCAATGACCACTCAACTTTCTGTCTCTATATACTTAACTACTTTAGGAATCTCATAAAAGAGGAATCGTACAGTATTTGTCCTTTTGTGACTGGCTTAATAGCTTCAAAGTTTACCCATGTTGTACCATGTGTCAGAATTTCCTTCATTTTAAAGTTTGAATAATAATCAAATCCCACATTTGGTTTATCCATTTATCTCGATAGATACTTGGGTAGCTTCCACATTTTGGCTATTGCAAATAATGCTGCTATGAATATGGATGTACAAATATCTCTTTGAGACCCTGCTTTGACTTCTCCTGGATATATACCCAGAAGTGGAGTTGCTGGGTTATATGATAATTCTTTAATTTTTTTTGAAGAATTGCCATATTGTTTTCCACAGCAATTGCAAGGGAGATTGTTTTTAAATCACCAATGTCCTTATTTTTCTTAGGAGAGAGTACATGATATTGTTTCTTTTCTGAAGATGATGAATTGAGAAATATTGGTTAAACATATTATTTAAAATTACAAAGGTAACCACCAATAGAACTAAAAAGTCTGATACCTTCCAAATTGCCGTGAAACAATAAACAAAAACAGACCACACAGAAGCATAGAAGCAGAGAGCACAAAATGTGACAGAAGTAGACTAACCCTATCTGATACAGGGGTGAAAAAAACTAATATAAACTCATTTTTTAAAAGAAAATTAAAGCCAGTTATATGCTATTAACAAGAAATATACCTCATTGTAATATATATATATATATATATATATATATATATATATATATATTTCAAACAAAAGAACCAAAAAAGTTTGAAATTAATGGAGGAACAAATGTATTGCAGGCAAATACAAACAAAAAGTAGAAAATAATTCTGTTAATAATAATAAGCTAAATTCAAACTACTAAAGAAAAAAAGGAGAAAAAACAGGCCCAAAATGGTGTCACTTATGCTTAGCTCACAATATCAAAGTTAGACTTAATACCTGATCTAATTTCAATTTCAACCCCTCCCAGAAACATAAACTTAATCAACCAGTATGGAATGTTCTGGTCAAGCACCATTAAAGTAATCTGTCACATGGGCCCTCTCCAATCCCCCATAGTGAGAAGAGGCAATTTATATAATAAAAACACTTTCCCTTCTCATCCCCCAAAGAAAAGATGTTCCAGCCCCCAAATAATCCTTTTTCTTTCCCTAATAGCTCCCTTGCCACACCCTTCTTCCTATAAAATCCCTCAATTTTGTAAAACTCTTCAGAGTGCTCTTCTAGTTACTAGGTGGGATGCTGCCCAACTCATGAATTGCTTAATAAAGCCAATTAGGTCTTCAAATTTATGAGGTTGAATTTTGTTTTTTAACAAAGCTAAGAAACATTATAATAAATAATAGCATTGACATATATAAAGTAAAAGTATAAAAATTAAATGGATTAATTTACAGAATGCAATGCTGAAATAAATAAAATTGTATTAAGGTGCTTTAAGTCACCTCTCTTAGGCCTTGACAAGTCACATAGAGAAAAAATAAGTTATGATTCTGAGATTTTGAATAATATATTTAATAAGATTGATGATAGATAACTAGCTGGCTAGACAGGTATAGACTATATATATAGATACACTCTGTGTCTCTGTATCTCTGTCTCTGTCGCTGTCTCTGCCTCTCTCTATATAAAGTTATACAGATATATATATACACATACACACACACATATATACCAGGGTGCCAAAAAAATGTATACAAGTGGACACTTTGATCAACGTTGCTCAAGCAGTAGTTTGCCATATCAGAAGTGTCTGGACACTGATGGTAACCACTTTGAGCACCTCTTGTAATTGCAGAAGTCGAATGTGACTTGTATTCATCTTTTGTTATCAGTGTATATTGAGTATCACAATTTTAATACAGTTTTTTCTTTTCTTAAAATTTGTATACATGTTTTTGGCACCCTTGATATATATACTGGATTGTCGGAAAAGTCATGATGCTTTTTTGCAACGAAAAACAGAAAAAATATGTCATGACTTTTCCAAGAACCCAATATATATATCATGACTATATCTTATTTGCAAGTTCCCATGAGACATTTACAAATTTGATAGTACAATAGGTCACAAAGAAAATGATTTACAAAAAAATGAAAACAGAATCAGTCATATCTCTGACTATAATTCAGCATACTGACAATAATAAAAATAGAACAAAAATTAGAAAACAGTCTCCAAAATACCTTCTGTGTCAAAAAGGAAATGAAAACAGTAATGGTAGACAATTTAGAAAACAAAGAAAACACCACATATAAAGATCTATGACCTTGAAAACATTCTAAGTGATAGATGATAGACACAAAAGGCCACGTATCACATGATTCCATTTATATGAAATACCCAGAATAGGCAAATCCATAGAGACATAAAGCAGGGGCTGGGGTAAAAGAGAATGGGGAAATGACTGTTTAATGGATTTGAGGTGGGTTTTTTTGAAGTGCTGAAAATGTTCTGGACCTAAAAAGTGGTGATGATTGTGTAACAATGCCACTAAATTGTACACTTTAAAATGCTTTAAATGATAAATTTATTGTAATGTGTATTTAAGAAAAAAGAAAAAATCTATAAAAAGAAGGATTTACGTTTTCATTCATGGTCGACTGGATAGTGCAGACCAAACTGAAGACAATCAGAAAATCTGGACAGAGGGCCGGCCGAGTGGTGCATTGGTTAAGAGCTGGCTTGGGACACCAGAGGGCCCCGGTTCGGATCCCACATATGAGGGCCAGTGACACTGCCCTCTACAGCTAAGATGCTGAACAACAGCTCAACCTGAAGCTGGGCTGCCATGAGTCGCCGGCGACAGTGTAGGCTGCAGCCCCTGCTGCAGTGGGTTCCCATGGGCTACCATGTGTGGCTGGCAGCCAGTGTGAGCAGCCATCCAGAAGCCGGCAACTGATCTGCCTCGCCCGGGAAGAGCGCAATGATGGTGCCAAATTAGGCCAGTGAAGCAACGTCCTCCACAACTAGACTGAAGAACAAAAGGACAGCAACTTGTCTGTTCCCCTTCCCCCAATTCCCCAGCGCTTGTTCCCAATACCCCAATTACCCAATAAAAATCTTAAAAAAAAAAAAAAAGAAAATCTGGACAGAATATGAAAAACATCTGATTGGAGGACTGAAGGTCTAACAAGGCAATGAAAAATTATAGGGCCAACATTCAGAAAAAGGAAACCAAGAGAGGTGACATTATTATTTAGTGCTGCCTTTCCCCACTGGTTATTTGATGAGTCCAGAAGAGGCAACTGAGAGGTGGAGGCACTGAGCAGAGTATCTGTCAGCCTTCTGGGGCTAGGGATAAAAATCGGAGTCTGGGGGCCTGCTGAGTGGTGCACTGGTTAAGAGCTGGCTTGGGATGCCAGAAGGCCCTGGTTCGGATCCCACATATGAGGGCCAGTGACACTGCCCTCTACAGCTAAGATGCTGAACAACAGCTCAACCTGGAGCTGGGCTGCTATGAGTCGCAGGCGACAGTGTAGGCTGCAGCCCCTGCTGCAGTGGGTTCCCATGGGCTACCATGTGTGGCTGGCAGCCAGTGTGAGCAGCCATCCAGAAGCCGGCAACTGATCTGCCTCGCCCGGGAAGAGCGCAATGATGGTGCCAAATTAGGCCAGTGAAGCAATATCCTCCACAACTAGACTGAAGAACAAAAGGTCAGTAACTTGTCTGTTCCCCTTCCCTCAATTCCCCAATAAAAAAATCGTAGTCTGTTCTGACACCAACTGGTGTACTAGGATACAATTCTGATGCTAACCACCTGGAGTTAGCGTCAAACAACATAGGTTTAAGGGCACAGTCAGTGCGCTGTCCTCACTTCAGACAATGGCCACACTATGAGGGCCCCCAGGCCACCTGTTCTGACCAACTGGATACAAATTTGAGAATTCTTATAAGTCCCTCAGGTTCAATATTTCAATAGAATGACACAGAACTCAGGAAAGTACTATATTTATGATTGCAATTTCATTAGAAAGGAGTGGCCAAATGAAGAAACACATAGGGCAAGGTTTGGGAAGTTCCCAAACACAGAGCTTCTGTGCCCTCTCCCCATGGAATCAGGGCATCTCACTCTCCTGGAACTTGGGTGTGTTCACCAACCAAGAAGTTCCACAGAGCTACAGTAACTCAAGTTTTTGTTTGGGTTTCATTACATAGGCATTGATTGAATCATTGATCATGTGACTGAACTCAATCTCCAGGCCCCATCCTCTTCCTGGAGGTTGAGAGATCAGGCTGACATCACATGGCTCAGATCAGAGACCTTAGAAACTATCTAAGATAGCACCTAGAATGACCTCATTAGCATAAACTCAGGTGTGATCCAAGACTTTTGTGAATAATAAAAATCACTTGGGAAATTCCAAGTGTTTTAGAAGCTCTGTTCTAGGAACCCAGGACAAAGACCAGACAAATTCTTTGTTATAAACACAGGCCATCTCCTGGTCTGTGGCCATGTTTCTCTTACAACAAAATGATCAACCCTGTCTAAGCATCTAAATTTGGTGGAATATTTATATAACATATAGAGCAATAGTCCAACATGAATATCCCTAATGTTTGGAGAAGCCAGTGTGGGAGAAGAATAGGAGGATTTTAACTCAATTTCCTTACACATTTTGTATTGTTTTTGGATACCTCTGGCCATTCACAGAACGTATAAGAATTCACGAGACAGAAAAGAAAGCAAGAAAACATTTATTGAAAATTAGGTAACGAGGATGCCCACGGAAGTGTCTATAGAAGACGGCTGCCCCGCACTTCAGGTTAGCTTTTCTTATCTAGGAAAGTGTAGGCAATTTTCTTACAGCAAGAGATGTGATGTACAAACTTAGAACATTTGACATATAGACTGAGGTCATTTGATTGAGAGATGCAGGTTATATAACTGGTTTCTTTCTGCGCATGCTCTTACCCACAATGCGTACAGAAAAACCCATGGGAGGGAAAGGTAAGCCATAATGTTCATTTTATTCTAATTATGATGAGGCCAGAGTTCAGGCTAAGGGTAGGCTCCAGCAGTCTGCACAGGCGCCAAAAAACAGACAATTCTGGTCGGGATCTTATCTCCTTTTTCTAGGGGTATTTCGACAGAAAAATTTATCTCTAGTGGCTAAGCCTGGGTGGTCTGGAGATTGGATGCAGGTCTGGGTGGTTCCCAGGACTGGACAGGCAGTGCAAAGTACTGATCAAATCACCTTCTGCTAATCCCCTTCGGGCTCACTTTTTGTTAACTATTTTTCTGCCTCATCACATTTGACCATCACTATCAGTATTATTACTTTGTCAAACATGCTAATGTTGTATCATCTTCACACTATGGTAGACGTAGCCTGAAAAATAAGAGTAAAAAGATATTGGCACATTACCAGAGTCCCGTTCAGTTACTGATCATTTTCTAGTCCATTATCATATCATATGACCAAAATGTGTCACAGGACAAGGTCAATCAGCTTTGCAGGTTTCCATTCCATCTTGTCAGGATCCAAAAGCAGCAGTGGTCTCAGAAGTATATGGCTTCTCCCTTTCAGGTATCTGGTATAATTGAGCTAAGAGGCAATATCATCTCTTGCTCTGAGCCTCTTTTGAGGTGGTAATGTAATACTGGATTTACCTCATTGAACTCATTCATTCATTCCTTTACCCTCAGCTACTATTCCTCTTTCTCTGCATTTATACCCCAAACTTTCCACCCTTGGAAGGGATGTTAGGTTGGGTCACTGTACTGGTCTAGATCATAGGCAACAATACTAGTCTAGCAAGTGCCTTCTTTTCCGTTCACTCTCATTCATCTAGGACAGGGTTACATGGGTACAGAGCTAGTGGCTATTTCTACCACTAGGCAAGTAGTGTAGCTGCATTCACTGTTAGCCTCAGTTTTGCCAGATCAGATGAAGGAACAGCCTGTTCCATCCAGCCTGTCCAATGAACTCAAAAAGCCTGGAGGCCTTGGCTAGAAATAAATGAGAAAGATTTATTCAAGGGTCTTAGGAGTTGCAAACCAGAAACACAGCTAGGCAAAACCCCAAAAGTGTCCTGAAGAAGAAAGAAAAGTTAAGAGTTCTGATAATAAAAAGTACATTCTTGAGAATAATCATTCCTGCATTCTTAGCCCTAGGATTGGTCCAGGATGGTTATCAGTAAGGTGTCAGGTGGTCTGGACGATGGGAGCCAGGAGGACTAGTCATGTCCAATGGTCTGGATAACTGACGTCAGGTGATCTGGATAACGTGAGTCCTTCACAGAGTAATCAGAGGATTATCTGGTGGTCTTATGTATATCCAGGCATTGATGCAACACTGGAAAGTTCCAAAGTTTAAGTTCCAGGTCGTTAAAGCAACAATAGGCTCATTTCCTCATGCCTCAGCCTACTTGATTTTAGTAATTTAGCAGCTTGACTATACTGACTCCATTTTATTTCTTCACTCTATTCCTCAGCCCCTTAGGAATTCTGAGTATATTTTAAATTTTCATGTTTCATCATTAGAAATCATCCATCCTTTTGACACTTATAGATGTAGCCCTGTTCCTGGGACCACCATATCAGGTAGGAAAAAGAAGTTGAGGTGATATGGGAAAGAAAAAAAAAGTGTAGCCATATCACCATCTTACCTCACATAGGAAGAATGACACAGTCATACCAGCATCCTCCCCCAGCCCACCCCATTCCCCAAATCCACCAAAAAAGCAGAGGAATCTATGTAGTGGGGACACTGCCTTGACACCCCTTATGTTGAGTGTGAGCACACACTCATGAAGGCAGGTAATCCAGTACTTCATACCTGCATCTCCTCCCCTTTGAGACAACCAATGTTTTAATTGACCATTTCAATTCTCTATCAAACTATATTACACTGAGGAGGATAGCTCTCTGCCCATTGTTGGACATTATGGGCAATAAAGTGGGTTCCTTGGTCTGAAAAAATGGACTCAGAGTCCAAATTGGTGTGCCATCTTCAGTTCTAGTTCTTTTACAGCACATTGAGCATTTGCAGGTACCACCGGGTATCCAAAGCCCAGTCCAGAGTCAGTGTTTTGTTCTTGTCAGGACCTGCCTGTAGCCTCCCAGTGCGACCAGCATCAGTCTCACTTGCCAGCTATGTTCAGGGCCTTCTCCCCGGGGAATCTTCCCTGTAACCATCTGCAGTCTCTGCTTCTCTTGTTGATAGATGGAACAGTTCTTATTGGCATTTTGTGCCTCTGAGGGTACAAAAAGAATAGGTCTAAATTCAGCCCATATCTGTATTGTTGCAGCCCCCATAATGTTCATTCATTTCATGGACCTACATGGCCACCTCAAGTGAGCACACCAGGATATCCAATCACTGGCTCCAATGACCTTCCGATCCTGAAAAGAGGTTCCTCTAATGGTGTTCTAACTGTGCTATTTCAGATTCTGTATTTGTCTGTTTGGCATCCATTAATTACAGGACCAAACTAATGGCCAAAGTTGTTTACATCTCCCCAGAGATCCAGAGCCCATACTCTGAACCTCCTCCTTATCTCACTCTCACATGCCAAGCTAATATTTCCCCTGCTCTAAACCAACCAAGGGCGAGTACCAGACAACAAGGGACAGCCCCTATCCCCAAAGCCCACCAGACCTACTCAGATGAGCCAGTCTTAAGCTGTTTACCCTGCCCTGCCCTGCCTTTCCCATGGAAACTCCAATACAGGCTCTGGCTTAGGCATTCCCCTCATTCCTTTCTGCCTCCTGACCAACACTGGTGCTTTTCCTTGTGAACTTGTGTGGCGTAACATGCCTCCTCCTCACAGGCAACATAAGTAGTAAAAATCTTCTTTCGATGGCATTAGTCTGTAAGTGTCATCACTCAGTCACCTTTATAAATTACAACCCAGGCACAAATAAGATGAGCATCAACATGTCCTGCTTAAATTAATGCACCCCTCATATTCCCATGGGAATTTCCATAGGGCTGCGTTCCATTTGGGCATCCCTTTAACATGTCAGTTTTCCATTGCCCTTCTGCCTGGACATATGGCTAGGCCATTGAGCACTGCCCATGAGTCAGTAAATACTCAAACATAGGGGCAAACAGCAGGCAATTCAGTCCACTGAGCTGACTTATTTTTCAATTAGAGTGGCCATCTTCCAAACAGGATGCTGTCCATTCACGGTGGAACTTCCATCCATAAACCAAGAAGCTCTTTGTTGGTCAATAGAGAATTGCTGCAATAGGTTCCAGCAGCTCCTCAGATGGTTCCAAAGCCAGTCTTAGAGCAACAGCATACCTATTTGTGAGTGTACTGAGTAACTCTCTGTATTCCCTCAGAACTCTATTAAGGAACTAGAAATCATGAAAGGAGACCACATAGAAATTCTAGATATGAAAAATACCATAACCAACAAATAAAACTCATGTGTGAAATTAATGGCAGTTTAGACAAAGCTGAGAAGAGAATTAATGTACTATAAAACAGAACCACAGAAATGTCCAGATTGCCTAGAGAGTCAAAAATAAATAAAATGCAGAAATGAAAGCAGGAAATACATTAAGAATGCCTAACATAGGTGTAATTGGAGTTCCATTCTTAAAGGAGAGAGAAATGAAGCAGAAATAATATTTAAAGAGAAAATGGCTGAGAATTTTCCAAGATTGATTAAAGATATCAAGTCACAGATGTAAGAATTCCTCCAAATTCCCAAAGAGGATGTAAGAAAGAAAACCTCACCTAGACAAATCATAAACTCAAATACAAAGAAAATCTTAGAACAGAAAACAGTTTCTCTTCAAAGAAGCAATAATTAGAATGACATATAAAATCTCAACAAAACAAAGAAGTCCAACATTTAATGCAATAATATCATCTGAGTGTTGAATATTACACCCAGGAGAAACACTCTTCAAGACTGAAGATGAAATAAAAACATTTTCTAACAAACAAAAATTAAGAGAATTCATCACTAGCAGGTCCGATTCAAAGGAAACACTAAAGGCTGTTCTTCAAACAAATGGAGAAAGATATCAGATGGACGTACAGAGATGCAGGGAAAAACGAAAAGCAACAAAATAAGCAGATATATAGATATATCTAATTGACTATTGATTGCCAAAAACCAATAAGAATATCTTTTGAGGATTAAAATATATATGGAACCAAAATGCATTTTTTAAAAAATCGGATATAAGTTGAGGCAGATGATAAAGAAGTTAAAGTGTTCTAAATTCCTTACATCATCTAGGAAGAAGGTAAAACTACTAAGTAATATTAGACTTTGATAAATCACAGGTTTATTTGTAATCACTGGTGTAGCCACTAATAGAATAATAAACGAGTAAAGCTAATAGAAGGCAGAAATAGAACGATAACATATATCAATCCTAACATAGACAAATAAATAGAATCTGACTCAAGGGCCGGCTGAGTGGCTCAGTTGGTTAAGAGCTTGCTCAAGAGTTTGAGCTCTGAGCAACAGTGGTTCGAGTCAGCCCGAGCTGAGCAGCCGCTGAGCTACCAACAGGTGGCGGGATGGCTCAGCTAAAAAAAAAAAAAAAAAAAAATCTGACTCATACTTATTTGGTCACCTAATCTATAGCAAAGGTAACACTGCCATACATTGGGGAAGGAAAACTCTTTGACTATATGGTGCTGGGCTAAATGGATGTCCATATGGAAAAAAAAATTGTTCCCCATCTCACATCACACATGAAAAACAATTCCAATAGACTGCAGATCTAAATATGAATGGAAAACAAAAGAGCTTTTGGAAGAAAACTTAAGAGAACATCATCACAATTTTGTAGTATGCCAAGATTTTAAAAACAGGACCAATAATGAGTTAACTAGTGAAAAATGATAAATTAGACTATATTAAGAATAAAAGTGTTTGCTAGTTGAAAGAGTAAAATGGGAAATCACAGTGTGTAAGAAGATATTTTTAATGACAGAGGATGTATTCATGTTGCCAGAATATATTCAAAACCCCTTCAAATCAACAACAGAATGACAGAAAATTAACAATCGCTTTATAATAAATCATATCCCAGTGGAGAATAAATGCAGAAAAGGAACTCAACTTCATTAATCATGAAGGAAATACAAATTAAAATCATAAGATATTCCACACTACATCAGGAGTTGACTTAAAAAATGAAAAAAAAATCAGATAATACAAGTGTTGACAAAGATATAGAGAAAACAGAGCTCTCAGTAACTGCTGGTAAGAGTGTAAATTGATCAATTGGAAAATTGCTTATCAGTATCTAGTAAAGCTGAAAATAAGGATATTTAATGGACTCAGCAATTTTCAGATATATATTACAGAAATGTTTAATGTTCACCTAAAAGACATAGAATGTTCATAGAAGCATTTATAGTAACCCCAAATTGGAAACTAGCCAAATGCCCATCAACGATAGTATGTATAAACAAAACATGATATATTCACACAAAGAATTTCTATATAATTAACAAACATGCACAATATTGTTGTGGACTGAATTGTGTCCCCTCAAATTCATATGTTGAAACCCTAACTCCCAATGTGACTGCATTTGGAGATAGGACCTTTTTTAAAAAATGAATTATAGTTGATCTACAATATTATATTAGCTTTAGGTGTACAATATTTTTATACATTATGAAATGATAACCATGATAAGTCTAGTTACCACCTGTCACCATATAAATATCGACTCTAGTCCCTATGCTGTACATTACATCTCATGAGATAGACCTTTTAAAGAGATAAGTAAGGTTTGGGCCGGCCGAGTGGCGCGATGGTTAAGAACTCGCTTGGGATGCCAGAGGTCCCCGGTTCGGATCCCACATATGAGGGCCAGTGACACTGCCCTCCACAGCTAAGATGCTGAACAACAGCTCAACCTGGAGCTGAGCTGCCATGAGTCGCCGGCGACGGCGTAGGCTGCAGCCCCTGTGGCAGTGGGTTGCCATGGGCTACCGTATGTAACCAGCACCCAGCGTGAGCGGCCAGCAGCCAGCGTGAGCGGCCAGCAGCCGCAGTGAGCGGCCGTCCAGAAGCCGGCGACTGATCTGCCTCGCCAGAGAAGAGCGCAATGATGGTGCCAACTTGGGCCAGTGAAGCAACGTCCTCCACAACTAGATTGAAGAACAAGATGACAGCAACTTGTCTGTTCCCCTTCCCCCAATTCCCCAGCACTGTTCCCATTCCCCCAATTCCCCCAATAAAAATCTTAAAAAAAAAAAAAGAGATAAGTAAGGTTAAACGAAGTCATAAGGGTGAGGCCCTAATCCAATAGAACTAGTGTCCTCAATAAGAAGAGGAAGAGACACTAGGGATGCACATGGACAGAGGAAATGCTGTATCAGGACACAGCAAGAAAGCATCTGCCTGCAAGTCGAAGAGACAGAGGCTTCGGGAGAAATCAAACCTGCCAAACCTTGATCTTCAACTTCCCACCTCCAGAACTGTGAGATAATAAATTTTTGTTGCTTAAGCCACCTAGTCTGTAGTATTTTGTTATGGCAGCCCAAGCAAACAAATACAATATGGGTATACCACATTTTGTTTCTCCATTTATCATTTGGTGGCATTTGGTTGTTTCCACTTTTTGGCTATTATGAAAAATGCTGCTATGAACATTCATGTACAAGTTTTTGTGAGAACATATGTTCCCATTTCTCTTGGGTATATTTAGAAGTGGAATGCTGGGTTATATTAACTCTACGTTTCAACAATTAAATGTTCAAAAGCATAAAGGAATCTATAAAGATAAGAGCAGGAATTAACACAACAAAAAACAAACTTACAATAAAAAGGATGATCAAAGTTCAAAGACTGGTCTGTGAAAACAATAAAATGGAAAAATGGGTAAAGAAAAGAGTAAAGGCATGAATTACCAATATTAGAAATATAGAAGTGAAAAAAGGACATTGCTTCAGATCCTGTAGGCAACAAAGATAACAAATAAAGATAATAAAGATAACAAAATTATGAACAATCTGATGTCTTCAAATAAAATAAAAATGTGAGTTGAGAAAGTTCCTAGAAAACTGCAGCTTACAAAACCAACAAAAGAAGGAATAGAAAATTGGAAGAGTACTATATCTATTAAAGAAATTGAATTTATAATTTAAATCTTCCAACAAAGAAAACTCCAGTCCCAGATGGCTTCACTGGCAAATTCTAATAAATATTTAAGAAATAAAAATACCATGATTACACATACTTTCCAGAAGATAGAAAAGAGGAAACATACCCAAACTCAAATTATAAGACCAGCATAACCTTGTTACTGAAACCTAACAAGGATAACAAGTGAAAGGAAAAGTATAAGTCAATCTCACTAATGAACACAGATGCAAAAAATCCCCAACAAAATAACAGCGAAGTGAATTCAAGGATATACACAAAAGATAATATGTCCTGAAAGTTTGTTATGCCAAGAATGAAAGATTGATATAAATTTTTAAAATAATGATTAAAACTTACCATATAAACAGGATAAAGAATCATTTAATAGATTTTCAATAGAAAAAGTAATAAAATTCAACATTCATTGATGGTCATCCAGTCTCTCTCAACAAATTTTATTCTCCCCATTAGTTTCATTTGCCTCTTTATTCATCCAGTGCTTAGAGCTGTGCCTGGTATAGATATGCTCTTTAGGTGTTCAATGAATGGATTTTAACATAAAACCTTTGATGGTGTGCCCAGCTGGAAGCCATTACTGGGCCCCCTAAATTCTCACAGTTCTTCATCTCCACTTTATTGGGATCCATCTTGCTTTGTATTTTGTATTAGAATTATGTGTAAAGAAAGGCAGGGTAGTATGATGGTTAGAACTACACCTCTGTACAAATTCCAGCCCTGCTACTGCCAGGCTCCAGATCTGTTCCGGGCACAGAGGAAACAGTTAGCATTACTGTACTTTGTATTATCTCCTTAATGGGGAGAAACCAAAGTTCCTTGAAGGTAAGATTACATATATGATTTAATCTTTGATAATTTCCACACTGCCTAGCTCAGGACACACAGTAGGTGTTCAAAAGATAATAAATAAGAAAAGCTAAATTTAATGGGTTTATATGTGGCAAGTTCGAAACTGTTCTAAACACTTTACATGTATTAGCTCATTTAATTCTCACAATAAGTACCATAATTATTCCCATTTCATGGATGAGGAACCAAGTAATTGGGAATTGAAAACTTTGCCCAGGGTCACACAGTAAATAAGTGGGATATCTGAGATTTACACACAGGGCTCAGGCAGCCGAGACTTACCTACAAGAGACTATCATGTGTAAACCAACTAGCTGGGGCAGGTTTATGAGGTCAGAATCAGAGACAACAATCTATATGTTCAACAACAGGAGCTGATTAGATAAACTGTGATAGAATCTTATGTCATCATGGAAATGATGATGTATGTCTACATTTATAATACTGAAAGCCATTCATAATTGAAAAAAGCAAGCTAGAAAACAGTATAATAACCTGCACAAAAATGTTTACAGCAGCCTTACTTATAACTGCCAAAAACTGGAGGCAACCAAGATGTCCTTCCAAAGGTGAATGGATAAACAAACTGTGGTACATTCATACAATGGAATATTATTCAGTGATAAAAAGAAATATGAACTATTAATCCATGAAAAGACATGGAGGAACCTTTAAAGGCATATTGTTTAGTGAAAGAAGAGCCAGTCTGAAAAGGCTACTCACTATATAACTCCAACTATATGACATTCTGGAAAAGGCAAAACTAGAGAGACAGTACAAAGGTCAGTGGTTGCACAGAGAACTTTGGGATTTTTAGGGCAGTGAAACTATTGTGTATGATACTGTAATGGTGAATACATCATGCCATGCATGCATCAAAATTGAACTTTATAGCACAAAGAGTGAAGCTTAACTTATGGGCTTTAGTTAATAATGTGCTAATATTGGTCCATCACTTGTAACAATTACCACGCTAATGCAAGATGTTAAATACCAGGGAAAACTGAGAGTGGGGGATGCATGCGGTAATGAGGGAACTGCAGTGTCTCCTCAATTTTCTGTGTAAACCTAAAACTGCTCTGAAAACCAGAGTCTATGAAGTTAAAAACAGTACAGTAGCATGATCCTTTCCTTTCATGTCAATATACCTGAGTGTTTTTGTGCATAGAAAAGTCTGGAAGGACATAACCAAAATTAATAGCAGTTGTCTCAAAGTGGTAGGATTCACGAGATCTTTCTCCTAGTTCTATCCACCCTTACTTTCTTAACAAAGGCATGCATTAATTTTATCTAGAGGAGCGAAGTGCAGCAGTCGGGGTGGACGGCCCAGCGCCCCAGAGGCCGGCGAAGCGTTGGCGCCGCAGAGAATGCAGCTTTCTGAGTCCGCTGGGCAAATGCCGTCCTCAGCATCTGCTCCGCCCACCGTGTCCCTCGGCCTTTTCAGTTTTGTGTCCCGGAGGTTAGGAAAGAGAGAATTCCTCCGGTGCAACTGCATCTGCACTCGTGGCGGGCGCGGGGCCAGGAGGGGCCACCGAGCTCGGCCCCCCGGCGCTGACGCCCGCCTGGTGCTGCTCTGGGGGCGTGGCCGCCGCGCCCGCCTGGCCATCAGTGGGCTGGAATGTTCCCGCGGCGTGTGTACTTTGTTCTGAGGATGGGGGAGGGTGGAGCGGGGGCAGGGCTCCAGGGCCCCTGGGTCTTGGAGGGCAGCCAGCTTTCCGTTCCCAGGGAGCCTGGGGAGGTGGGGGGGAGGGGCTGAGGATGAGCTGTCTAGTTCCCAGGCTGGGCAGCTGCCAGGGCGTGCACGGAACCCCTGGATTCCAGTGCCAGCCCTGCCACCTACTAGCCGCATGCCCCTGGGGTTAAAAGGTCTCTTAACCTCTCTGGGCCTCAATGTCCTCATCTACAAAATGGGGATAACAATAATAATGGCACACATTATTTATAACAGGCGCTGTTATAAAGCTGTCTGCAAGTGCTCATCCCTCCTAACATCCCTTTGAGGTAGGTGATGTTGATATAATAACATAACTGTCGTTAGTAGACAAATACTCCCTAACTGCCCAGGCCCTTTGGACAGCACAGATGCTTTGGCTGTAGAAAGCTGGACTCAGCCTCCTTCCAGAGAGTGACATGTGCACTATTATTATTTTCACTTTATAGATGAGGAAAGAGAGCTCAGAGAGGTTAAGTAACCTGCCCAAGGGCACACAGCTCCTAAGTGGCCATCCTGGGTGCAAACCCAGGCAGTCAGACTGAGACCTTCTACTCTTAACCACTCTACTGCCACCCTTAAAATCTGTTTATTCCAATGTATTGCAATCCATGTAACAATTCTGAGTATTACTACTACTAATTAACTAAATAATGCTATCACCAATGGAGGGCTGTGATTCTTGTAACACCCTATGAGATAACTGCTACTATTATTATACCCATTTTAGGGATGAAAGATCAAGGCCCTGGGAGGTCAATCAGTTCTAGAGGGCGAAATGCATTCATCCTGAGGCTAGGGCTTAGCTGTTGCCTCCTTTTGCGGTATTTTATAGGGAGGCCAACTCCTCCGGAGTCTGATTATAGAGGCTAGCCTGGAAGGATAGGCCTGCCTTCTGTCCTTGTCAGAGCCAACTTTGCCTGGTAACCTGAGGGGCTTTGGAGGTGTGTAATGAGTCTCTGATCCCATCTAACACTAGCTGGGGAACTTCTCTCTTCTTGGGTCTGCTGCTTCTAGGAGCCCAGCTGCCTAGTGCGTGGAAGCATCTCCACCCAGAATGGCAGGTCAGTTGCCCTAAGTTATGGTTGATGGAGTGCTTTGCAGCAAAATCTCCCTGTCCTGTTATCATTGTTCCCTTCCCTTTACAACCCCTCCAGCACACTGACTGGAAAGTCATTATTGGACTCCCATCACCACCACCCCGCCCTTGGGTTAGGAGGCTGCCTTCTTTTAAAACTGCAAAAGTTGCTGTTGCTTCTTTGTAACCTATCCCCCAGGTACCCTCAACCCACCACCTTCTGGGAAAGAAAAAACACTCTCATTCTTTGTAGTAGGCATTAAATGTTTATTGAAGATGGTTTGGCAAATATTGCTATTGTCATGTGAGCACACAGTAGGCACTGAGTAACTGCTTGGCATGTATGTCCCTTCTGCCTGGAATGCTCTTCCCCTGGTTACCTGCATGGCTCCCTCCCTCACCTCCTTCAGTTTTTACCCAAGTCGCCTTCTTTGTGGGACCTTTCCTGGCCACCAAATTTAATTACACCCTATAATAGTCCTGATTCCTTTTCCCTGTTTTATTCTTTTCCTAGCACTTTCACTGTTCTATACTTTATTATTTTGATTTATTTTGTTTATTATCTGGGTTGTCCCACTAGAAGGTAAGTGCCATGCGGGTAGGGATTTCTCTGTTCCAGGCGCTGAGGGACTCATGACTCTATTCCCCGGTGCCTGGAACAAGGAGGAAGGAAAGAGGAGCTTCCTGGGCTGTTTCAACCCAGTGTGACTACTGCTGCCCCCTTGGAGGAACACACATTTCTTATTCGTGCAGTTTACTCAACATTTGGCATAGCATGTCCCCTTGGTGACATCTCTTACAGTATCATCCCATTCTGCTGTTTGACTTTGCAGTTGTGTATCTCATCTACCTGAGCAGACAGTAAATTTCCTGCTTCAGGACAGGAGAAAAGGGGATCTTATTCTTTGTAACCCACCGTCCCACTCCCACCCCCCAGTACCAAGACAAGGCTGAATTTCTACAGGTTCCAGGGCTCTTTAGATTTCAAAAGAACATTTTCACCCCTCCCTCCCTCCCTTCTTTCCCCTACCTTGCCCTCTTCTCCACCAGCCCCAGTTTATCTCCATTAATATTATTAGACTTAACTGCTTAAGTTTGTTAGAAGTTTGATATTGAATGATTTTAGGTATAACTTCACTGCATTTTTTATGAATAACATTTAATATCTAATGGGGGTCTATATGTGAACCTAATTTCTTAACATGACACCTTTATTTTCTCATTAAACGAAACAGAATATTCCATACCTTAACTATGTTCTTGCCATGGAGACATCTTTGATTTTCTCTTTATCGTTAACAGGAATTTTTACAAATGTGTTCAAGTGGCCTAAGTGAGGAAAAGAGGGAGAGAATGAGTCACATTCCTGGGAGGTCAGTGAAGCCTGCTGGTAGTCACCCCCTCAGCCTAAACACTGAGAGTAAGGGGAGTACACAGCTGGGGATGGTCCTTAGTTTTACACCATCACAAATGATTACAGCAAGCACCAAATTTGTCCTTTCTCTCTCTCCCTGCATTTCCCTAGGGTTCGCTGTGATGGGAGCTCATGTCATATCCAACTTAAGTGGGAGGGACTACTTGCAAAACATTATCTAGTGAATATATTATTTTTATTATCAAGAAAAATCTACAATTGTGTACAAATAAGCATTAGTTGTATGATTTGAATATGAAATTTCATCATTATATTGCACATGTGATGATCTTGGTACCTGGCATCTGATAAAATTATGGTAAAAGGTACCATTCTGGTTGGCTTGATTCTAAGAAAAATACATCAGAATAAGTCCTGCATAACTCTCTACAAAAAATAACTGCAGGGTCCTCATAAGCTGTGTGGCACAGAACGATGACTGGAACAAAGAATTGGTGGATGATAGATGAATTGATCTATGGATAAGTGGGTAAATGAATAAAAGAGTGAACGGCTAGAGGGCTGCACAAATGGATAGATGGTAGATGATTGGATAGGCTGGGCTCCGAAGGTCCTTGGGCCTAGCACAGCACTGATCATACAACTTCATATACAAAGATATTTGTTTCCCCAGGGGTCTTCCCCACCAGAGTTTGAGCTCCTTAAAGGCAGAAAGTTAATTTATTTTATTTTTTTGGTATCCTGGACACCTAGCACAGTGTCTGGCACATTGATGGAGCTTTAGTTAGGATGTAGATTTGGCGGCTGTTACATGCAGCATCTCACTTGTACCACAAAGTTTATTGTGCAGCCAGCAGGATGGGGGTGGGGGAGGGAAGTGGGTGGGGAAGGCACACTTGTCCTCTTCAAAGGCAGGACACTTCTGCTGTCATCTCATAGGCCACAACTCTGTCCTATGGCCACATCTTGCTGAAAGGATGCTTGGCAATGTACCGTATTTCCCAATGTATAAGACTCACCCTTTCCCGAAAAATTTGGGGTCTAAAAACTGCGTGCGTCTTATACAGTGGTTGTAGTTTGTTTACTTGCATTTCCTGCAAGTGATGAGGTGTATGAATTTTATGATGAATAAAACGTGAGTTCAATAACTTTACATAATACATTTTTTTCAAATTTTGGGCCCCAAAATTAAGGTGCGTCTTATACATGGGGAAATAAAGTAATCTTATTCTAGGTGACTTTGTGTCCATCTTAAATATCAGTGGTTCTAGAAACAGCAGAAATGGATATTGAAGGCAATTAGTCTCTACCACCTAAGTGAGCAATACATTCTTATTTGTTAAATGAATATAAACAAATAAATGAATCTAACTGATATTGCAAGTCTGTATTCTGAGAAGGAAAAGCATGTTGAATTATACAGTTAAGTGAAAAAAGCAAAGTAGGATCGATGGATACAGTATGCAATTATTTGCTGCCCTTCTCTACTAAGAGACATTTTGTAAACAGTGACATGGGCCCAGATAAAATATTCCACTTCCCAGACTCCCTCCAAGTGCCCTTGTGACGCCACTGTGGCCAATGAGATGTAAATGGAAGATGGCTGGAGGCCTCTGAGAATGCTTTTGATTTAATACGAGCATCACTTTCCCTCTTTCTTCCTACTTCTTGATTTCTGAAATACAGATGTGAGAGTGAAGGTGGAGCAGTCAACTTGTGGCCATGAGACAATGAACAACAAAGCAAAAGCCACACATTCAGCGGGACAAAGCCGAAAGCTGGAAAGTAGCTGGGGCACTGATGATGTCATGACAATGCTGCCAGCCTTGATTACCTGCCTCCAGACTGCTTGTTAATGAGAAACAGGAGCTTCTACGTGGCTAAGCCAGGATATGGCCTTTCTGTTTTATGCAGCAGCCTAACTGATATATGTGTAGCTTGAAAAGTCCCTGACCACGTAGAATATCGCTGGCAAGGTACACAAGAAACTATAGCCATAGGTTCCTCTCCTATGAGAAGTCATGAGTGATTGGAGGACAGGGTGGACAAAAGACTTATTTTTCATTTATAGTCTTGAATTTTTGAACATTGAATTGGTGGCATTTATATATTCAACAAAAAAGTGTTGAAGGGCCAGCTGAGTGTGCGTTGATTAAGAGCTGGCTTGGGACGCCAGAGGGCCCCAGTTCGGATCCCACATATGAGAGCTAGTGACACTGCCCTCTGCAGCTAAGATGCTGAACAACAGCTCAACCTGGAGCTGGGCTGCCATGAGTCGCCGGCAACGGCTTAGGCTGTAG